ACACACACACACACACACACACACACACACACAAACAAACATGTACACACAACTACTTCACTTCTGATTAGTGTGAATAATGCAATTCGCCGGTACTCTATATCCAAAAAGTATTTAAGGCAGAAATCGTCATCATTTGTTTATTTTATAGGTTTGCACGGCTGTATACAGGATTGTAAGTTTAACTGTCCTGCCAGGCTTTGAGCCAAAATAAACTTTCTGACTGATCTGACTCGTCGAAAAGTAGTTTGAGGCCGTCTACACTCAGACGGGGGAATTTTAAGTTAATGCTGTTTATGGGGTACATTTCTATAAGCAGCTTTAGGTTGCACGGCCCTAAATTGTGCGGCTTCAGAATGCGCATCTTTGCTCCAAAAACCATAAAGACGATGAATTTTGGCTTGAGTCTGATCCTAAATGCGTCCGCTTATGCAGTAAAAAATAAACGCTAAAGAGGTTTGATCCTCGTCTAGTTAAGCTCAAAATTTTTAATGGTTAGTGCTATTGATTTTTTGCTGTTTCAGCATTTTTTCCAAAAGTATGCTTATTTGCAACAATTATTGATATTGGTTCGGCTAATCATCCGGAAAAACAAGGATTCGGAGAGTAGTGCCACCAGCAGCAGCAATGACAACAAATTCCATATTCCAGTTCTGTTGCAACTGCAACAAAATTTTGCTACAGTCAATATTGACATTTATGGCGATTACAGTCTTTTCCATGTTTCTTTGCAAGAGAAAAACGAAGTCGAAAAAGGAGAAAGTCATAGGTTTTTTTTTTCAAAATATTTTACAGATTTGCAGCTTATCCTTTAAGCTGCGCCAGGAATCTATCAATGTGCTCAAATAACATTCAGAACAAGGGCGCAAAATTACACTGCCGTTTCGATATGTGAGATTTTCGGAAGCATTCTTCAAAGCAAATTTTATAAGCATCTTTGGATAACGAAGTAGTGACTCTGATAAAACGTAGGCGAAGCTAACTCTTGTGTATGGCGAAACTGTGATGCTACTACTGCAATTGCAGCGGGCCAAAAAAAGTTCTAAAAACTGGTATTCTCAACAATCCTCACCACTAACCATAGCATAGTTATTTCTAAAATTCACAATTTTTGGCGTCTGCTTCTTCATAGCGTTCGTAAATCTGATATGAGTCCGAACGTCTCAAAAAAATTTTTCATCAAAAGAATGGGACAACAGTGGCTGTCTTTCCTCGGTATTGTTTTTAATGGAAAAATTTGCTGCGGTACCGAAAGCCATGAGATGTTTGCGAGAATGAAGTAATTTAATTTTTTAAGAGTTCAGTCCGGATATAGGAAGGCGCAAAAAGTCAGCAGCCGAATCATCAGCTGGCAAAAAACAATCAGAACCAGATTCACAAGGGTCAAGGTTTGCGTGAGTCGTTTTGTGCTGCGTTTTGAAAAATCCTCAAAGGAAAGGTAGAGTGAAGAAAGAGATTTTTAAAATTTTGGGTAGCGATAATGACACAGTACAAATAAGGTAAAAAGTATAGCGTCCTAATTGCCCGATTATTTTTGCTAAGAATTCATATTACGGATTAATGCTGAAGAAATTTGAATTCTTAAAATTTTTTTTTTAATTTTTTCAGGTAGAACAGCACTTTCTCTTTCAAATAATTTCTTTCAAATAATTTCCAACTTATAGTTTTTCATCTAATCCCCCTTTAAAATTTTCTTATAGAATCTCTTGTACTATTTTATCATTATTTCTGCTGGTATAGAATACACACTTTTGGAGCACTGAGCTTGGCGAAAGCCACAATACCTCATATTATTTTTAGCAACCTATAAGTTTCTCGAAATGTAATAATAAAAGTGCCGTTAGACTTAGCGAACCGCGAGAGAGAGAGGAAGCCTGTTGCACAAAACCAAAATGCCCGTATCAGCTCTAAAAAGCTTATTTCGATGCTTAGATCAGCTGCTGTTTCATCAGTTGGCAACTTCTCCATCTTTCTTCGCTTTGAAAAGCTATTTCAAAACTTTTACCGACCTTAAATCATATTAAAAACCGGTAGTTAAATTAACAGTTGGCAACAAAACAGTCAGAATCAGATTCACTGAGTTTAGGATTTACGTGAGTCGCTTTGATATTTTTAAAATCCCACGTTTTACACAGTTACTGTAATTGTAGTGCCAGCAAACAATCAAAAACAGAGCAGGAACTAGGTAAAGTCGAGGCAGCACTCATTGAACGAACTCAGGAAAAAGACGATGATACACCGCTGGAGAGCGATAAAAGTGAGCGGGAAGCTAAAGAAGCAAAAACCAAGAGCGATTATAAAGTAAGCATGGCTAAGTAGCAACCAGGCAGCTAAATTCCAGACAAAGAAAATTTGTCAGATTACATTACGAAACGGCTCGCACTCATCATCCTTCCTTTGCAAAATCTGCTTTGTGAATTACAACGTTATACTTTGCAAACCAGGCGACACGGTTTTTTTGCGCAAGTTTTGGTTACGAAAGAATGTTCTTTAGGGATATAGGATCGGAAAGGAACTGAACTTCTCATTTCAAAAATCTCCGAATCCTTCGAATCGTGAATTGTTAACCTTTGCAGTGCAGTCCATTTACTTCACTCCAAACAATTGGAGCACAGAAATCTGCCAACCTACAATCATACCACCTATATAGGCTTTATCTATTGCTATCATCAACAGCGTCCAATTTTAGACATTTCTTCGTGAATATGCATAACGATATGCAAAAGAGGGATTTTGAAAGGACAAAAATCTCATCTGATTTCATAAGCATGAAAAAACACGTATATCGGAAATTATTTCGAAAGTTAGCAAACCATAAAAACAGGGTTGGGATCAAACTCCTAAAAGAACAGTTAAGAAAGTCAAAGTTAAAAGTCAAGAGCTCCGCAGTAATTTTACCTATTCAGAAGTAGGTCCAACTATTGTCAAAAACGACCACCTGCTAGCAAGGCTAATGGTTGCTTTGAAAAATTATGGTCAAAAATTTCATGGGAAATTCCTTCAAATCCCCTTGATTCAGTAACAGAACAAGAACGCTGAAGCAATGGGGACAATTAGAATTAGTTTGCAGTGCAATAAATTCTGGAATACTTGCTTCAGCTTGAGATTAAGAAACTGAAGACAAAACAAAATGAGAAGTTCAGCTTTTAGTCTTTTAAAGTTTTCATGTTTCGGTTATTAAGCTTTGATTAAATACTAGAAACCTACGAATGAAAAAAAGACGAGTACGAAAGAGAGTGGAAAAAAGACGAGTACGAAAGAAAATGGAAAAAAGACGAGTAAGAAAGAAAAAAGCAAAAGTCTTCTGATCGACAAAACGCAATATTCAACAATTATTAAAGCGCCGGTCGATGATGGTTCGAAAAAAAAAGATAAATTGGAAAAGGAAACAACAGATGCAGATGCTTCGGTAATACTAGGCTCTTATCTGATCAGTATTTCATTGTTACGTTTGTTCCTCATTGGTGCGCCTAGTAACTTCACTTTCCTTTATTTTGGACCTCTCTCATATTTATAGTTCCAAACAGGCTATAAACTAAATCTTTCCAAATCAATGGCCGCCTTCCAAGTGTTATTTTAACATTGTGTGATTACCACTCAGTAATCCGCTTTACAAAAATATTTCTGATGTTTCTCACTGCTGATACAAAATTCCTCACTGCTGATACATTGGCAAAAACTTCTCACTGCTGATACAAAAATAATCCAGCTATCACTTTTGGCAAAAAATAACATTTGGCTTATACGACAGCAATAACAGCAAAATTTAAGTTAAATTACTTTATACAAGCCAAGTGCTGTTCACTTTAAATCCCAAAATTTGATAGTGTGACTGTAAACCGAAATGATTTGATAATTTGCAAAAAGAAATTGACCCTATGAATTCTGTGATAAAGTAGAGAATGCATAAGTTATCATTTATTTTGTTATCATTTAAATGCATAAGTTATCATTTATGCTAGTTATCATTTATTTTATGACTCGAGCTTTGCTAAAGATTGAATCGCCGGGATTGGCCCTGTTCATCTGTATTTTCATTCGTGTGCTTGTCTGCATCGGTTACATCAGATTAATGAAATGCCGCAGCTTATCGTCACATTTTCCAGAAGGAAAAAATGCCGGTTGATGTGATTGAAGTCCCATGTGGTCCACTGGATCAAACTCAGCGCACTACTTTAAGTCCAGCAAAAGCGCAATCACCACCTGAAATGTTATCAGGCAGAGAGGAGAAAGCAAACAAAGTAACAGAGCACTGTCTTTAATTTTTAAAATTAACTAGCACTGGTTTTCACGCCTACGTATAAAATGCGACATAAACAAAGCCCCAGTAGTAACTGATAACGTTAGTACGTAGAGTAGCAGCAAGGGTAACATTTGTCAGAAAAAAAGCATGCAGGCTCGGGGTGGTGCATGCGAAAGAAATCCGACTGCCCGAATGACTAGCACCCACTAGCAACGTTTTTGATGGTGTCCGCTTTCAATGTTCATTAAAAGTAAGCTGCTGACTGGTTTGACTCTCTGGCACATACCAGTACCAGTTTCTGGTCGAAACGAATGAACAAATCTTAGAGCGATTGTTTTTTAACTCTAGCAGCAGAACTGAACTATTATTTTTTAAAAAAATTACGTACAGTCATATCTAGTCTTTTGATCCAACAGTCAGTATTTTAGTGATAAAAACTGCTTGAGAAAATGAAAAAACTTGGAAAATAATTGGACGAAATGCTAGAGAGCTATTGATTTTTCTGGAAAAAGACGAAAAAAATGTCCGAATTTAATTTATCAGTGATAAGAATATATTAATCGCTTTATTGCTGTTCATCACTGTATAGCGATGGCGTTTGTAATCAACACATCATCTTAAATATGTCAAGGACACCAAGACCGTTCGGACAAAATGCGCGAGGATCTGATGCTATAGATGTTATTGAGAGGCATTTACAAGCTGAGCACCCTTTGAAGCTAAATGCGTACCGTCAGTCAGCACCCATCACTTGCTTGATCCATGTTTGTAAGTCAGTCAGCATCCTGCTTATCGTCAGTCAGCGCCCATGCTTAATCTATGTTTTTAATCCATGTTTGTAATATAGTAATATCAGAGTTAGCAAACCTGCATTAATGGTATTCACATTTTGTAGCACTAACAATATATTCAACTTCTTTTTTCTAGCAAAACCTGCCACAGTGTTTAAGAATTTCAGAAAGATAAAAAAGCTGTAGCTCGACTGCAGCGATAAGCAAACGTTCTCGAGTTTTCCGGCAGGAAAAGCATATGTTCCTTTAACAAACTCATTCAAAGGATTCACTTTGGTGCTTGTTCTTTTCCAGCAGAAGAATGGGGGAAATGGATCGAACGGTGCCGCCGATGAAGCGTCAGAATCGAGTACAGAAGAAGAAAAAACAGAAAAGGCTGCGGAAAAACCTAAAACGTATTTGCTGTAACAAAGCTCAGATCTGCATAGTTCTTTCATCCCATTGCCCAAATTTATGATTATTTCTCCCGGAAAGTGTACCGTACTAAGCGATATCTTTGCAGTGCTAATGAATCGTTGATGTAGTAGCAGTGATCAATAATTTATTAAAAAACACCCATATTAATAATAATGCAACTTCAGCGTGATGCCACTTATGCCGTCAAGTTAAAACTGTACCGCGACAAAGCCAGTACTTTCGAAAAGACAGGAAGAGACCAAGAATGTCTGGATCGCTGTAGAGTTCGATGCTAGTGGTATTAGCGACATACCCGCACACGCTAGATGGTGCAGTGCTAAGCCCTCTGGTCCTGAGTCCAGTACTTCTGGCTAGGTCCACCACCTGTTCCATTTATATGTTTCACATTCTTGAAAGTCGCTAAAGTGGTCATTTATTTTCCCGACAGTTACCACTCATCAATGCATAACGTCTACCAGTTGTCTGTAAAGTAATCATCATATTTTTCATCTAGCTTCAAATCAAACAGTATACTCCGTCTACTTATATGACTATGAGGCGGCACTTCCGACATCCTTCGCCCCATTGCCATTTCAGTCAAATGAGGAATTCAAGTGATTTCCACTACTAGTCACATTTCGCAAGTGTGCATTCTTGGAATTAAAATCTGGAACTAATCCTTGTAGCCCTGCACTTTCAGATCCTCAGTAATACTCTGAAACTTACACCAAATGGTAACACTTCTTTCTGCAGCCTTCGCCTAGCAGTTGCAATGCAAGTACATTTCCTGGTCGACGCGACTGTTTCTGTCAACTTCTTCCAAGTTAACACTATCTGTCTGCAGCTTCGCTTCAGGCATGCCGACACTGTGTATTACCTTTGTTTTCGATGCATTATTTTTTAAAGCCTTCTTCCTTGCTTTCTCCAATTAATCTCAAAAACGTAGTGTGTTTAATCGATAACAAATTTTTACCTTTTTTAACATCATTAACAATTAATTACACTGTGTACGCTTTACTCAGGGATTCGTTAATGGATTCCGATGTACACGGTGAATTTGGTTTGTTTGTTGATGTACACAAATTATCGCGGCATCTTACTTCATTGGTCCATTTAGCAACTTTCTAATACGCCCATCACGTCCTTTATTAATCACTTTCTTGCACATAATGTCTGGATATATGCATGAATGTGTACATGCATATGTATGCATGTTTGTGTGCATATATGTAAGTATGCATGTATGTGTCTGCGTATGTATGCATGCATACTTGTTCGTATGTATGCATATGTGCATATAAGCACATAGGCGTAAGTATGTAGTGTGTAAGTATTTGTTTCTGTTTTTGTATGCTTGTACAAGCAACTGCAAAAGACAGAGAAGCCAAAAATCCTGAACATTTACCCCAATAATGCATAAGCTTATAAACTCAGACTGGGCCTTAAAATCAAATCGTAACTACTGGCCTTTCGCTTCAAACCCAAAAAAGAAAAAAATTTAAAAAACTCTGCTCTTTTTATTTCAGGTGATTTTACTGCTTTCGCATTTTGGAAATTTTTGAGAAATTCTAAAGATTCTAGAGATTTCACCAAACAAAACTGGTCGGTACCCTCAAACCAAAGGCAAATCCTCAGTCTATCCTGACCTTTAATTTTACGCCCATTGTCTGCTACTCCGATCCTCGATTTATCATTTGCTAGTGTGACGGTACTGTGCTAATGAATCCTGCCTTAGTTTTTCTATGACTGAGAGGAAGAAGAGCCATATTTTACAGTCATTTCTACGTTCTTGCCATATGGTGATCTCCGAAGGATTGCTTTTCCACTTCATTCCTTTATTCTGCGAATAATGAAATATTTAGCAAATTTTTTGTATCAAAATGGCCTGCTGTTAACGATGATACACCAGATGCCCAGCTGCCTTCCACAATAGTCGTTACTTACTTCTCATTTTTCCGCATCTGCAAATGGCGAAGTGCACTTCAGTAGCACTAGTAATTAAGCAACGAAAGCAGGAATAATTTTGGTGGAAATAATTTCCGTTATTTGGTAGAAGTTTAACGCAGACAGTTGTCCTGTCGCTGGCAGAAGTTTAATGATCAAGGTACAAACCTTTTGGTGCAAGCGCTGGCCGCCGCGGACACATTCAAGTACAGGTCCTACTGTTTGAGCTGAAGCGTCATAACACAAGATTTTGACCATTATTACGTAAATTTCATGCGACTACGTCAAAAATACAAATGCTCATTCATGTTGTCTGCTCAGTTTCTGACTGATTTGCCACCTAGTGACCCTTTCTGAATTATCAAGTAGGGCCAGACAAATCTGGAAAATGATATGATCTAACAAAAAATGCTGAATGCACCGAGTGATTCAGACTAATCTGAAAAGCTTAGACCAGTACAGCTCGTTTTCTCATTATCATTTTCGACCTTGTACTTACCGGTCCAATTGTCATTCGAGGCCGCCATCGGGATATCAAGGTTCCCAATTTTGAGCAGCCTGTGCACAAGGACCAACTGGTGGACAGCCAGAAAGTTACAGACAGGGAGTTAGCTTTTCCAGAAACTCGCAAATAGGGATTACCATGATCCTTCGTTCCGAACATGTCCGCATCCGAATTTGCAAACAAAAAGCGAATTTTCGGGACCTCTTCATGCCTGAAAGTTGTGTGAGTTAGCTGCTCGAGAAACGACTGCGAATGAAAATTTTTATGGAATTTAGGAAACCAATTTTTTTGTGCGTTTTTGCATATATTCAAATGCTAAAACGATATAGTGAATGCATATGTGCGTGTATGTGTGCGCGTATGTGTGTATGCATGTATGCGTCTGTCCAGGTATTTCAACTGGCCAACCATTCCAATCGACCTTACTACTGTACGAAATACTGCAAAAATGCGTGTTCGCAAAGGCCTGCTTGGCGCGCGTCAAACCAATGATTATGATTTGTTTTGGGGATGGCATTTCACCATTGCACCTATAAATGCTTTGGTAGTTCAAATTGGTAGTCCGACTAGTACTACCGGCAACTTTTAGTTGTACAGAAGTCGTGGTCAAGCGTACCAAGTTCTTTTGAGATGAGAAGACATATTCAGTGTGGATTTCTTGTCAATTAAAAATCGTTTCTTTTTTTCCGGCTGGGTGAGGAAAAGAAAGCTGTGAGATTTATTTTAGTGCTGTTAACGATGGGCTAAAATTTATTTTCCCGATGTACATCACTTATCGATGGATTGTGCTTTTTTATGATAAACAGAGTTGTCTCCAGTCAGCTAGTACGAAAATGCATACTACAGAAGTTTTTTCTATCTCACTGGAGTAGTTTTTTTGCGTATTTTTCAGGTAATAGTTTTCAGGGATATCGTGCTGCACGCTGCAACTGGGGTGACTTACATTAGCAAGTAAAAGGGTATGAAATTTGATTTTTCGTTTCTGATTCTGTGCGTGGCCGGAAACAATTGTCGCAGTTTTCAGTTTCCTAGCTTTCGTATTCTCGAATTAAGTTTTTACGAAAAGCAGACAGATACTAAAACGCGAGCAAACACACATTACAAAATGCTGATGCATTTTTGTGCTGCATTATCACTGATGAAAAGAAGCATTCAAAGGAGGCTGCAACGGCGTGAACGGAGGTATTCATACGAAAGTAACTGCTCATTGCTTTTATATTTTTTAGTTAAAGCGTCGATGAAAATACCAAAACGATCTTCTTCGGTACAGGCCTTACCAACATCGTCAGTCAGCAGCAGCAGTAGCAGCATTCTTGGCAGAGGCTCTCGATTTAACATTTCGAGAAATCCGCTCGGTTTCTTCTTCAGTACTTTTACTAGGCGACGAAATACATCGACGATTGTGAACGTCTGTCCTGACGACGACCAAACTGACAATAAAGAAAACGTAAGTTGATTTTTCGAATGCGTGTGTGGTAAAGTGAAAGATGGGGAAGCTGGATCGTTTTTGCAAACTCGCTAGTGAGTATTGATTCCTAACTTCACCGATAAGAGACAGTCAAAGGTCAGAGTCGGAACCTCTTTCGTAGTCGCTTTTCGTGGGAGCGGAGGCATTTCAGTAATATTTCGAGAATAGCCACTGTTTATTAGGCTATTTAAATAGCTTTTTTTAAAACTAAGTAGGAAGAGATTTCTTTTAACAATGCATCCTGAGACTACTGAAGGCCTATTTCAGTTGAATAAGTATGCAAAGGCTATTATTGAAACTGTAAACAAAAATCACACACCAATGGCAAGTTTAAATCGCTAAATCCTTGCCAAAGTGCTTTTTGCAAAGTTGTCAGCAAAGCGAACAATATCCCCTCACCGTCGGATATTATTCCTACGTGTTTGTATAATTTGCTGCCTAAGCGGCCTCTAGCGAGTTAACCTGCGTGCTCGTCACAAGCAGCACTTGCTGACTTAACATGCAGATTTGAAGAGAAAGACTGGGCACTGCTGCATTTAAGGATTTTTTGGAGTCATCCAGGATCCCTACGAATTTGCTACGTTTGGTTTGGTCCCGCAATTCTTTCGTACTTTAACATTATTTTGATTGTTTTCTTATCATTTTGCGCTTTTTCCATCTCGGATCTTTCTTTTTAGTTA